GGCAGCGCTTCTCGAGGCCAACCCGCGCTCCGACGGCGACGCCAAGCCGCTGCAAGAGAGCATGCTCGCGCTCTGGGTCCTTCTTCTCAGCCACGTCGACAAGATCTCTGTGCTCAAGTACAAGTACTTGTGCTATCGCTTGCTCGAGGCCCTCGTCCAGCGCGATGAGTTTCTTCTCTTGCACCTCGACTTTGACTTCAACACGATGGACGTGCGCAAGGACGGCGACCGCGACGCGTGGCGACTCGTGCACCTCTACCGAAAGCTCGTCGGCGATACCTTTGTGCACGCCTCGTCGCTGCTCTTGCGCAACACGCTCTCGGTCGAGCTCCAGCGCTTTTGCGCGCTCGCAGCCACGCGGGCGTTCTTTGTGTTTCCGCTGCTGCAAGCGCCGTTCGTCGACATTTGCAACTGGCGCTACTGTCAACACAAGCCGTTGCGACCGAATGACCTGCACGAGACGCTTCAGTCGCAACGTCGCGCCCACCTCGCCAAGTGCGCCGACACGGCGTTCATGGATGCCTGCCCCGATCTCTTTCACTGGGGCTGGCTCGCCAAAGATACCGACGCGACGTCGCTACTGCCCGACGACAGTCCGTGGCGCCTCGTCCTCGCTTCGGACGGCAGCTTGTTTGTGTTGTTTGTGCAGGCGGTCACTGCGTTCGTGGCCTCCACGACGCACCGGGCGGGCGTGCATGCGCCCAACTGGAGCATGGTGCCGGGGTACCTCGACCTCATGCAGCTTTTTGCGCTGCTCGTCTATGATACGATCGTGTGGCTCAGTCACGTGCCGTCCGTTGGCGAGCTCACGGTACCACCAAACATGCTCGCACTGTCCATATCCTATCTCGTTATGGATGGCATAGAGGCCGGCCATGTTTCCACTGACGTTTTCATTGGCCGATCAAGTGTTGGAATGCGCGTCCCGATCCATGATTAACCCAGGTATGGTGCAAGTGCTTTTGCCTACGGTGGTCGTGGGGCTGCAGCAACATACCTCGTGGCATCCCGCGGGCTTGACGCGGTCGCTCCACGCCATCTCCTGCTGGATTGACGTGGCGTCGCAACCCTACATCCACAGTGCAGGCAGCAACCAGAGCGATCCTGCGACGGCGCTCCAGAGCCTGTACTTGTACCCGTCCTTTGTGCCACTCGGAACGATGATTCCGATATTGCTGCAGTGGCTTGCGTCCAAGGACGACTCGGTGGTGCTGCCGGCGCTGCTCTGGATCGACGCACACCTCCAACACATGCCGTCAGACGGGAAGGAGCAGGTCGTCTCGACCCTCTTGCACCCCAAGTTGTTTTATAGCCTCTTTCTACACTGGTCGCCGCATGTCCGCGCCGTCGTGCACCACCTTTTGACATACCAGCTCTACCGCCATAACCGCCGCCACTTGCAGCTCCACTCGGACATGTACAGACTTGGCGGTCCCGACGAGGGGTCTCATACGCACGCGTAGGACATTGCTCTTCGAGCGAGCAAGTGACGTGGCACCGCGTAGCTTGGCCAAGGTCTCGGAGAGTCCGAATTTCATGCTCGATATTTCAAGCGCAAGCAAGATGGAGACGCATGTGTTTGTCTTGACGTCACCGATCGTCGGCGTCCCGCCCTTCCCCGAGGCCCTTAGCATTTTCATTGACGTCTCGCTCGCCGAGTACACGGCGACGCTGGCGCAGTACTATACGGCGTGCCATGCTGCCGAGACGGCCCTCGGTCGACGCCTCTACAGCGACGAAGTCGTTGCGGGACCTGATGTCCAGCTCCGCTTTGCGCTCTCTTCGGCTTGAAAACATCCTTTTCACCGTGTCGAATGCTCGAGTGCGGCAATAGATCATCACCCGATGGACCGCTCGCCATAGGGAGTGGCGTGAGGGGGTAGAAGCCACAAAGCTAACTGCTACATAAAGCCCAAGCAACCTGCTGTCGACTAGCGGGATGCCAACCATTGAATTTTCTAAACGCTTGGCTGGTTCCTGTAAGACGCTGACCGCGCCGGAAGCAACATGTGAAACTGTCAACTTGATATTTCGACTTGATAAGATTGTGGCGCGGGTGTAACGCGGCGGCAACATGACGTGTGGTGGCCAGAGCGACCACGAAGACAAGGTAGGTTACCACGCTTGGCGCCGTCAGATCTGAGAGCATGCTGCTAGCAACTCTTGCACTGGGTCAACTCGCTGCCGGTAGCCAGCTGCCTCCTCGTCGACTCATTCGACCAGCTTCGGTCCGGCGACGTCTTTGCCGACATCTTTGGCCTCGTCCACGTACGCTCTTGATAGCACTTTGTGACACGAGCGATCGCACGATGCAATTCTAGCACAACGAGAGCGACAGCCAGCGCGCGATCCTCGGGCCGCCTGCGCAAAAGCTGCAAATCGTGCTCACGTCGGTGCTTCAACTGGTCTCGGCGGCCGAGTGGAGCCAACGCTACGTCTTGCGGGAGCCGGAGACGATCTTGGACATCCTCGATGGCTCGCACGTTGCTATCGCGACGCTCTTACGCGCACTCAAGAAGCGTTGGGACCTCGTGGCGCGGCAGGTGCAGCACCGTGACCGACTCGACGCCCAGCTCCAGCGCCAAATCGAAAAGCAGCTGCCATCGCCAGCAACAGCTCGCCCGATCAAACCATCGCCGCATGACTGGAATTCATCGACGCAGCAGTGCATCACAGCCTCCAAGAAAGTGCGGGCGCCCGAGACAAGCGCCCGACCGTGCTCTCGATCCACGCACAAGAGTAGGAACATGACATGAGGTGTAGCAACACTCGACAAAAATGACGCAGGTGGCCGCATGATTGACGCGGCCGATGTCCCTTACGACATGCGCGCCTTGGATGCCAGAACGACCAAGACGGCGCGCGATGGCAACGACCTCGCCGAATTTAAAGCCCACATGGCAGAGAGCAAGCGGACGACTGCCTTTGCGATCTGCAAGTGGATTCGATCGCTCGGCATTCCACTGGGCTTTGAAGCCTCACTCGAGAAGACGACGGCCTCGAGCTTCCTGCACACAGCGGCCAACGTCTTCAAAGATGGCGTGATCCTCTGCCAACTCACAGCTGTAGTTGTGTACCAGTACGATCATAGTGTGTCGTCGGCAGGACAGCGTCTCATGCGGCGGCTACGTAGTTTAGGGGCGTCGTCTGCCAAAGCCAAGCTGCGCCCCGTGGCGACTCAACCCGGTACGTTCGTACCGCAAGGCTGCTGCTTGCAGCCGGTGACGCTCGCCCAGAAGCGGCACAACCTCCAGCTTGCTCTCCACCTGCTTCGCGAGATCCCAGAAGTGACACACCCGGTCGTGTGCGCCCTGGACCTTTACGACCCGCTTGCATCGGCCTTTGGCGAGCACATTTGGACGCTTCTCCACGTCTTGTACAAGCTCAGCCGCAGCAAGGAGCGTGGTGCACCGCCGTCGCGGGACCGCCCCGTCCTGCCACCCGCCCCGCCCGTTGAGCCAAGTGGCAGCAAAAACGAGGTGGTTTTTCCCAGCGTGTCGCCGCAGCAAGTCCACGCGGTGCGCGACTGGCTTCAGCACCTCGGCCTCGACGCGTCGTCGGTACGTGCGGTCGATCAACCTCAGACACGATGTGCGTGTAGAGTGCCACGGGACTGCTCGCGGATCCGTACCGCAACGGCAGCTTTCTCTGGTACATTACTCCTACCAACGACGACGACGACGACCGAATCACGTCGGGTTGTACTAGCGACGTGCTCAACCGTTTGGTGGCGCGCGACCGAGAGCTCACGTTTCACCGGACGCCCAAGACGCTGCACCAGGCAAAAGCCAACTTGCAAGCTGGCTTCCACTGCTTGCATGCGCAGCGCATCTCGCTCCCTCCTCGATACTGGTCCCTCGAGCACGGGTACGGGCTTCTCAAAGGGCACTTCCACGCTGTCTACGGCTTTTGGTGGCACCTTTCGCAATCGCTGCAGTCCTCGGCGGTGACGCCGACAGCGCCACACACCACGAGCCACGACCTAGCCACGCGCAAGATCCTGGTGGCCGAGTGGCTGCGCACCAAAGGCTACCTGAGCGACCTCCGCCATGCCACAGCGCATCCCCACCATTGGACGTTTGATATGCTCAAGGTAAACAGAAAAGCCATTTTCATCATGACTCCTCCATGGGTAGCCGTGTCTGGTCAACGGAACCCTTTTGCTGGCCATGGCGTCGACCCTTACACAGAGCAACGAGTCCTGCCGCGTCGTGCTCGATCCCGTGCCAACGTCCGTGGCGCGTGCGCACATTGCAGAGGCGCTCGAGCTTCTGCGGCTGCTGCCAGCGATCCCCCAGCGCTTCCTCTGGTGCGAAGACAAGGTACACGATACTACCTCTTTCCAATCGTTCAATGGAAGCACACGAGACAGGTGCGCGCTGGCGACGACGCCGTGCTGCTGGGTCTCTTGGAAGACGTGCAAGGCCTCGGCGACGCCCCCGCGGTACTACAAGTGCCTCTGCTAAAC